AGCGGTCGCCGCGGCCGCCGCCGCCGCCGCTGCCGCTGCTCCTGCTGTTGTTTTTATGGCGTTGTCATCATCTCTTTGCTTCCAACCATCCAAAAGTGAAAGCGGAGCGGCGAAGGTATGAGGAAAGCTCCGGTACCCGGAATCTCGCATCCGTGGCCCAAGGACGGTGATTCCGAAGATCGTTTGTCCGATCTCACCTCGGATGAATCCTCGTTGTCTGATTTGGATGCGGCGGCGACGGAGAGGGTGATGAAGAGGAGTAGGGGGTTCAGCAACTCCTTCAGCCTTGAGGAGGACCCCCAACTTCTGTCTAGTGATGAAGATACCGAAGAAGAACAAGAAAAGACTGTGACGGGACTGGAGAAGTCGGATGCTCCCTTGGGGGCCGCCCAAGTTCCGCGATCGAACGTTCTCCGACCTCAGGACTTGTGGCTTGCCATGTCCCAGTGTCTGACTTTCCACTGGCCCCCTTGTCTCTCACGCAACAGGACAAGCAAGAACTTGGTGGCCCAATCAGCAAGCAAGCAGCCTTCAGCCAATCATAGCCCCTCAAGGGCGTTGGCCTCACGTGACAGAAACGCGATACGGAAGGAAGAGGATGTCCCAAGCAAGGGGGCGAAAAACGGCCCTTCCCCTTTCCGAGGGCTTTCCCGTTCCTTGCCAAGGTTGCCGAGCACCAGGCTGGTGTCAGACTTGGCATCCGTGCTGTCGGAGAAAGACACTTTCTTGCGGATCGAGCTGGTAGATGCCAGTCAGGAAGGGGAAGACTCCTGCTACAGAGCCGAGTGGAAGCTTTCCGAGACGACCAAGGACGTGGCAGAGGGCATTTGGTTCTCTCGGAACAAGACACATTTAGATTGACGTGCTTATTAACTACATCCGAACCGGTCTGGTTTTGAAGCTCCTCTCGGGATATCAATATACCGCAGAGGGGTGCTTCAGCTTCAGTCAAAATATTTGCAAATGACTATAGCACAGACACAGAGCTGGAGAAGGCAGAACTTTTTGAGGGAGACCAACCCACCTTGAAGTTTGGGCGTTTGGCTGCCTTGGTCAGGAGAACCACATTTTAGCCTCTTGATCAATGGACGAAACAGAACTGGAGAAACTGAGGGAATAAGTTTTTGCGGGGAACAAGCACCCTTCAATTAATGGGTGTTCTGGCTTGCCATGGTCCCATTGTCGGCTTTTGGATTGCCTCCTTCTCTTTGTGGACCAATCAGCTAGTCGCTTTCGTCTCCAGTTTGCGCTGCTCGGTTCGAGTGGAAGGATTCTGAACCGACTATGGTCTTTTTTTCCGGGGACCAAACCAACCTTTAAGATCAAGTGTACTTCAGTCTCTTGAGTTGTGTCTGTGTCGGACTTTCCCTTCCCCTGCTTGTGTCTGGCACTGGCAAGATACAAATTGAAAAATTGGCGAGCGACAGACTTAGGGCCAATCCCAATTCTTCCTAAAGTATCTGTGCTGTTGACATGCGAAATAGCCCAACAAACCCCCAAGATTAGTTTTGAGCAGTTCTGGCAATGCGTGTCTCAGTATCTGGCCATAGCAGATGGTCTACCATTAGATTTAGCATCTGTTTGGTAGATGCGAGCGAGGGAAGGGAAGGCTCGCTCTACCAGGCCAAATGAAAGCTTTCTAAACCGACCAAGGACCTGGCGGAGGGCCATGGACTCTTTGGTCACCGGAGAACTGTGAATTGTTTGTCCGCCACGTTTGATCGCTTACCGTGAGCCCTTTAAGATGCCGACATAACGATGATGTCTGCTTATTTCACCTAATAATCGGCCAGACACTCATCCAAACATGCTTTTATGAGCTGCTATTTCCAAAAAGGCCTCCGAGCATATTTAATGTTTAATTTTCCGCCTTTTTTGTTTCTCTCCCGGGGAACATTTTATACACGGCCGGCTCCGTGTGCGAGAGGCGATAACGCGACGAGCATTTATCAATAAAAGTGTCCTGGTTTAATCGCGCCTGTAATGTTCTTATTTTATACTTTGAGTTCAAGTGTGCGTTCGCCTTCACAAATGGACTGAGATCCAGTCCAAAAACTGGGCCTCTTTGGAGGTAACGGTGCTCCTATTTGTAATATTTTGCCCAGTGGGCTGTTTTTTTTTGGGGGGGGGGTGAATAGGTGTTGACGTGTTGGAAGGACAAAGCAGAGGGCGATAGATGATTCCTGCAGGCCACTTGTGATGCTGGACAAGATTAGTCGCTATGCGTGTGTTTGTGTGAGTGTACGCGTGTGTGTGTGTGTCAGGGGGGTGGGGGGGTTATGTCTGTGTGGGTGTGCATACAATAGCAGCATTCTTTGAAGCTTTATTTATAGGAGCCTTTCCAGGCCCTCAAGCAGTTGCCATCTTCATTACTGTCCAGGCCACGTAACATTTCAACACTGAAAATAGAAAGTATAGAGAGATGTTAACTGCTGAAAAATGAAATGAAATGATATTACAAACCGATATCTGCCTTTTTTTTAATGAACAGAATGACTTCTTCCAAAGGGAAAAGAATGCCAGGTTCTTCTAAAGTAAAAAGCATATGGTTGTTTTTCTTGGGAAAAAAAAATCACTTTATTCCGGTGGACTTTTTTCATCAAATACATTTTTTCCCCCCAAAATACATTTTTTTGGTCTTGAAACGATGAGTTGTGTTCATAGAATTGGAGATTAATTCTCAGAGGACAAACACTTTTTCCCTTCATAAAATGTCGATTAAAAAAAAAAAAGATGCACATACTTTTTTTTCCTTTACAAAATAAAATCCTTTTATTTGATTAAAACATGACTTTTTGTCTTTAAAAATATGCAAAATTGTTTCTTGGTTATCTTCGTGAGCTGAAGGCAGATTTGGGCTTTCTTATCTGATCATATTATTTAATCCCGAAAACCCTTCCAGTCAGCGATGCTAATCCATCCAATTAGCATGAAGCTAGCTGGTTTGCCATTAAGCCAAAAACAAATCGCCAATTGCAATATAATTGTATTGCTGGCTATAAAGAAAGCTGTTTTCACGCTCAACCTGGCACGTTTGCAGTCATCTGGACGGTCACATCTGCCACGATCTGCTTATTTTGCTCATCTCGGTGCTCGCATTATGCGTGTGCGAGTGTGTGTGTGTGTGTGTGTGTGTGTGTGTGTGTGTTTGTGTGTGTGTGTGTGTGTGAGTGTGTGTGTGTGTGTTGTAGTGTTGTTGAGTAACTATGCAATCTATCGTGTGTGTGTGTGTGTGCGTGTGTGTGTGTTGTAGTGTTGTTGAGTAACAATGCAATCTATCTTTTGGACACAACAATCAGTAGCATCTCCTGTGATCATGACGGAAATTGTTAGAGGCAGAGTGTCTGCGTAACGTCTTAGTGTGTGCGTGACAAGGATGAAGCGAATCAAGTGACACGAAGAGGAAGGGCCGGCCGGAGGGCTGCGCCGTGGATGGCAACACACGTCTTGGCAGATAGGGCCTGGCTTGTTTCAGAGTCACTTTGCGCCACACCAGGATAGCTTCAGGAAGTAACAAATGGGGAGAGAAAAAGAGAAAATTGTCTGACTTAAACCAGATTTTGGCCAAGACTGTCATATGACTTTTATATGGGGATTGGGGGGGGGCACTTTATTTGACTTTGTCCCTTATGACACAAGACTTTATTCTTCTTACGCCAAGACTTTTTTTTCCCTCAAAAAAAGTGTTAAAAATACAGTAAAATGTCCGTATCATGCTATTTTCAGCTTTTTTCAGCACAGTTAACCACAGGAATATATACTGTAAATATGATTATATGTTACCTTAATGTAACGCAACCACTTTAGTTTCATTTAGCCCCCATTGGTTTTTGTCAGTGTATTTCACTTTTTGATCTGTATGTGTGTGTTCATTTTCATGCCAATTTTAAGGTCGACATCTAACGTGAAGTCAAAACCTTTTGGAGCTTGAAAAGCAGCATTCCGACGCGTCGGCTCTCCTGCGTTGTCATCAGCGACACCTTTCCAGCTAACGGTGCTTCCTTGACACGCTGGCTGAGGTGCAAATGCTCACGGGTAAGTTCTCTCACCTCCGCCCATCACTTTTTGACACAGCCCAAATACGTTGCTTGTTTGCTCTTCACTAGGCTGAAATTTTACAATAAGAATGTCGTATCGTCCGCCAACTGCTGGGATGGTAAAGATGGCTGGCGACGCAGACAGGCTGTAACCGCATATACGTTCAAATAGATGCTTCTTCTATTTCTTTTTTTTGCCTTTTTCCTGCCTCCGAGGCAGCCACATTCATGACTGGATGAGCATTCAGGAGAAATGGAGCAGAAAATTTGGATAGGCAATCAAGATATGAGGGCATGGCACAAGACAAATATGTTTTTTTTCCCAATGCCCAGCGTCAGTCGTAATATCGCCACCTCTAAATTTTGAGAAAAAAAAAATCAGCCTCTGACCTTGTCTTCGTGGTCAACACGAAATTTGGTGGACATGTCTGTCATAACAAGAAGCACAAAACAGTCGCAAGGACCCATGGCCGGAATTAAACAGGAAGGTGGCCATTTTTGTTTGGAAGCAGCCCTTTGGGGCGAATTCCAGGACTGCTACTTGACAAAGTCTTGCTGTGGCCTGTTCCATCGCTGTTCACTCACAGCTTTAATTGATCTTGTCCTTGTTTCCCGTAGCATCTCTTATTCATGCCTCAGCCACCCACCGGTGATAAATGTTTCATTTTATTCAAGGGGAATGGGAAATAAGGTCTATTTTTAGCTGGAAATTAGAGGTAACAATGCAATTTGATGCACTCGGAAGTTGCTCGCTGTTTGCTTGGCTTGTAATATGGTCCAATGTAGTTTATTGGAATGACATGTTTTGAGAATCAAAATTGCATACGCCAAAGACAAAGCGATAAAATTCCATGGAGACAAATTGTGGGCAAATTTCTGAGATTGAAATTAACTTGCATTGCGACATTCAGCCACTAGAGAGCGACAGTGATCTATTTAAGGCCTGCTCACCAGAACTGTAATCTTGAATATTTCATCCTTGTATACCCAGGCTCCTCCTGTGAACAGTGACCAAAGCAGCCTCCATGATGATGAATACCCTCCTAAGGATGGTGAAAATGAATTTCAACTTGAATGTATGGATGTGTACGCATTGAATAGATGAAAACGTCTGCACTTTTCTAAAGTCAATTCTTTTTTCTGTGTCTCGGTCCAATTGTAAGGGCCAGACTGTATACAGATGTGCAAAGTTTCAATGTGCCTCAACAAAAACTGCTTCTCTGAATTGTGAAGTGACATGCTCACTGGTCAGTCAACCTGAGTGGGAAGAAAGGTAAGTAAACTTGTGTCTAGTGTTTGTTTTTATAGTTCATAGTCGTGTTTTATAGTAGTATAGCGGTTATGACTTTTACATTGATAATCTAATCCCCATCCCTGAGATGGGAACAGCTGTTTTTTTTTTTTTTTTTTTTTTTTTTACCTCACATCACATCTTTATGTGCCATACTCAATTACCTTCACCTTCCGAACCGCCTGATCCTCACTAGGGTCGCGGGGGGTGCTGGAGCCTATCCCAGCTGTCTTCGGGCAGTAGGCGGGGGACACCCTGAATCAGTTGCCAGCCAATCGCAGCATACTCAATTAACACTCTCAATTTAATGTAGCATCTACTTGAAAGCAAAAATACACCTGCAATATGCTTCAGTACAATACAAAAATTATTGGAAATAAATTCAGGCGTCAACAGGTTGAAGAAAAAGAAAAAAACGTGGCATTAACATTTTACCGAGAGGCGGCTTGTTGGATGTTGGATGCAGCCCCAGTCTACTGCGTTGCTAGGCAACAAGCTTGGGTCAGCGTGGAAGGGGGCAGAAACAAGTGGACATGCCAGGGAGCTTGTGTGAAGAGTTCGCGAGAGTGTTTTTTTTTTTAAATGAGATCTTCAATTTTATTTATTTTGTTTTTTTTTTTTTTTTTTTTTTTAATGAGATCTTCAATTTAATTAATTTATTTAATTTTTAAAGGAACAATCCTAGAATAAATCAGTTTTCATAAACATCAAATTTATTTTGTAAAAATCAATAATACTGCGGAAGTGTACTGCATTCACAAAGGATTTGAAAATATTTTTATTCTTAGTAATGTATTGGGGGCTGTTATGTAATAAGAAGAAGAAGAAGAAGATTTAAATTTTTGAAAGGAACAATCCTAGAATAATTCACTGTTTTCATAAACATCAAATTTATTTTGTAAAATCAATAATACTGCGGAAGTGTACTACATTCACAAAGGATTTGAAAATGTTTTTATTCTTAGTAATGTATTGGGGGCTGTTATTTTTTATGCGCTTCTTTTTAAATTTTTTTTAAGTTTCTATATTTCAGAGTAATTATTTTTCTGCCTTAGCGAATATTTTAGTTTTTAAAATATTCTTTTGCTGTTGTTTTTTTCAAATATTCTTATTCTGTTATTTAAAAAGACCAGAAAAGCAGTTTTTTTTCAAAAACCTGAAGAAAAAAAAGAAAAACTGAAAATTTTAACAAACTATTTGTCCAGATTTTTTTTTCGGAAAAAAAATGAATCTATTAAACAAAACAAAAAATAAATATAACTGAAAACCTTTTTTTTCTTTTTTTCAAATGACTGTAATATGCTTTAGTACAATACAAATATTTAATTAAACAAATTAATAAATCATTTCAGCATTACATATTATCTTGCAATTCTGCTTAATTTGATAAATAAATGCATGTAAAAACACCTTTCAGTTCAAAACAAATTAACATTCATTGACGATAGCGAATTTATGATTTAAGACACATATGTCAAAGTGCCGGCTTTTTTTTTCCAACCGCACCAGACTGATTTGCCAAATGTTGTCAAATTAAGATGAGGAAGGACACACATTTGTTTTATGCGCAATTCCTCATCAAGGAGATGAACTCGCCTCGTACCAAATAACATTGCCATATCATCTGCTTTTCTGTCTGTTTACGAGCCCAGCAGCGTGCATGCAAATGTGAAGCGTAAAGCGGTGACTCAGCGAAGGCTGACTTGTCGCCGCGCATCTCCTCGCTCTCGTCTCACAAAAAAAAAAAAAAAAGTTGTAAAGTTTGCACGTGGCCCGGAGCTTTTGCATCCACGCAAAGATTATGTAAACCTCTCACAAATGCTGCCTGTCTCCTAGGCAACATTTTTATTTATTTATTTTATTTTATTTATTTTTTTTACACATGACTCATCTGACAGCTCTTCTGTTTGGAGGCTTTGGCTTGCCTCTTGCACTTTTTCCAACTCGAGGGGAGATGATACGGCAAAACATGTCGGCAGTTTGCAGAGTACCCAGCAGTCATTCTCAAAGTATGGCACGTAAGTTAAAAAAAAAAAAAAATACAAATCATCCATCAAATCTCGTAATATTTTCATGAAATGACGATAAATAACATGCGGTTGGAAAAAAAGGTGCAGTCGTGGTCTAAGTCCAACATTTATCTTTACTAACATGCAGTTTGAAAAAAAACCTGTGATGCAACGGTGAGCCAAGTCCAAACATCGGCTAACTCGAACAGTATTCCATGAAAGATGCTGAATATGTATCACGTAAGCTACTAAGCAGGTAGGAAAAAAGTGTATCGTGATAGCGGGCCAAGTCCAGGCCTCTAGGAATATTTCTTGAATGATGATCAATTATATTCTCTTTTACTAACATACACTGAAAAAGGGGTTTGCTGGCTTTACGTCAATCCAACAGAATCTTTTTTTGTCAGTTCGAAAAAAAGAAATGTATAACAATAGTGGGCCAAGTCCAAACATCTGCTATCTCGCAATATTTTCATGAAATGACGATAAATAACATGCGGTTGGAAAAAAGGTGCAGTCGTGGTCTAAGTCCAACATTTATCTTTACTCACATGCAGTTTGAAAAAAAACGTGTGATGCAACCGTGAGCCAAGTCCAAACATTGGCCAACTCGAACAGTATTCCATGAAAGATGCTGAATATGTATCACGTATGCTACTAAGCAGGTAGGAAAAAAGTGTATCATGATAGTGGGCCAAGTCCAGGCCTCTATGAATATTTCTTGAATGATGATCAATTATATTCTCTTTTACTAACATACACTGAAAAAGGGGTCTGCTGGCCTCACGCCAATCCAACAGTCTTTTTTTGTCAGTTCGAAAAAAAAGAAATCTATAACAATAGTGGGCCAAGTCCAAACATCTGCCGAATCTGTAATTTACGAAATGTGATAACACAATATGCAGTTAGGAAAAAAAAGTGTAATGCAATAGTAGTCCAAACATCAGTGAGCAGTCTTTCATAAAAGATGCTAAATAATCACTTATCCAAACATACAGTAAAATGGTAAGCAGAGTCTAGAAAATAGTGCAGTAGTGGTCCAAGTCCAATACACTAGGGGAAAAGAAATTTGTGGTTGTATCTTGACTTCACGATGGCCCCTTTTTCGGTTCCCCCTGCCCTTGCGGTAACGGCGTCTTTTCGCCCCTTGCATCTACGTATCAATCTTGCCCTCGACGTCTTTGCCGCGTTTTCTGTCGTCAATGAGCCGTGCGTGGCGGGAGAAAATGAGGCTTTCATGCTTCCCATCAGCCCCACTTGAAATGCTTTTGAAAGTCAACCGAGGAGGAGGAGGAGGAGGAGGATTTTAGCTCTTCTCAGTGTCACGCTTGTTAATGGGATGATCGCACACAGAGTTAACATTTTTGCGCACGACTCGTGAACGCAGCGCCATCGGGCTTGCACCTTTTCACCTCCTCGGAGGATGCCAGCCATTCACAGGTCACACACACACACACACACACACACACACACACACACACACACACACACACATATCATCATCTGTGCCTCCTCCTTGTCCTCCTCCTCCCCTTTCGTAGCTCTCCTTGCATCCTCTCTCTCTCCCTCTCGTCGTGTACGCCTTGCCTCGACACAGGCGCAACATCTCCTCTCCCGCACGTAAAAAAGCAAGAAAATGCTGCGCGCTGACGACGGAGTGAGCGTGAGGATGCGTGGTGGGCTGGTGTAGCGTCTTTTGGGGGGGGAGGGGGGCTGCAAAGGACTCGAGGCAGGAGGGGGGAAATTAAAACCCAAAACCCAAACAAATACGCATCCAGGATGTCAACCACGCCTGCTGCGGCCGACGAGAGCCAGAGGAAGTCTCGTAAGCAAACTTGCCGCTTTTTGTTCGGATAATTTTTTTGAAGAGGTGTGTGTGTGTGTGTGTGTGTGTGTGTACAGAGGGAGAGTATACCTTTTCCCCCAAGGCCTGGGTACTGGTATAGAATGTGACAAATTTGTGTGGTTTTCCTTGTACCTACATATAATATGCATCCTCAATTTTTCCCGAATTATTTTAGCAAACAAATGTGTGTTATACAAAAGAACTCATGTTTAGCAAGTAAGTAAATCGCAATTGTGCCGCCTAACCCCGAAGTCGCTCACCTTGTAGCGTAGATGCCAAAGTTTGTGACT